TATGTAAGTAGTCTGATTATGATTAAATTATTCTTAATCGTCTTAATCAAGTGTAATATTAAACTTGACTTAACTAACAAAAATTAAATTTAGTTTGCTTCATCAACTCATCATCACCAAGTATACAAACTATCCTTTCAAGTTTCATCTTTTTTTCACCTTCATTAAATGAAAATGATGATGTATTATTATCGTTGTTGCTGTTGTTGATAATGATGGTGGTGTTGATGGTGATTGTGATTGTGATGGTGACAATGATGCAAGCCCATCACAAAGTCATCATGAAAGCAAACAAAACCAACATTAATCTTACTGTACTTGAAAAATATTCATGTAACAGTGAGAAGAGTGAACAAAGCGAGAAAACAATTTTTAAACAATTGTCGAAACATATAAAACTGTAATTAAATGAGATGAAATTACAATTTGAAAACAGCAAACATGAAATTGAGTCCAAAACTGTCCTTGCTAATAACGGAAATGTGCAGTAATGAGCCAAGAAAGAAAGCCATACCAAGATCAATTTGTAATCCACAATCAAGTTGTCCAAGACTACATTTTGTCCCATTAACTATAATTGAAAAAGAAACAAACATTTACATTAATCATTTTCTCATTCATTAATTTTTTGCTTAATCCAACATTGATATAATCAGTATACTCACCAGTAAATTGAATAAACCTTTTATCCCATCACCAGTCGTTATACACCATGATTATTTTAAGTTCAATGTAATGATCCAAGCACACTTCCAGAATCCAATTTGAAGGTATAAAAAAAGATGGACAAACAGATTTTGTATTAACAAACCACATGTATCAACTGGTGTAGTAAACAATCTTCAAGATTCACTCCAGGCTAATCAATATGCACACATTTTTGGTTTTAATTGAATGTTTATGGACAAATAATAGCTTCTAATTAGCCTTATCCTTTCAATGAAACGGTTGATGTGATGATAATGAGCCAAAACGTTTAGTTTTATTTGAAAACAATCTTTCAATTGCCCAAAGCAGTAAGGAATCTAGCAGTTAAAAATGTAAAGTTAGTTAATTAGTAGCCATTATTGAAACACACAAAAAAGTAAAAGAGTTGAATTCAAAGACTACTATACTTACAATACAGGAAAAAAAACCAATAGCAGCAAACAAACAAATCTACAACAGTTAACCAAACAAGTTGTCCAGCCAAAGGCAATACCAATCAATTGTCCAACAATTAAATTAAGTAATTAACAAATTAAAAAGATGAAACAATTAAATATAAATACTAATAAGTACAAATTAAAAATACAAATGACACTTGTTTTACAAGTTGAACTGTTACTCTTTGACCATCACCATAACAATAATTTGGTTAAAAATTGAAGCGCTAAAATCAAAACAAAGAGTAACCAAAAATGGTAAAAACAGATTTTCCTTTCAATCAACAATCAAAGCAATTAACCATCAATAATACAGTTAATAACTAGAAAAGAAATAAATGAAAAGGTTAATCAAATCAAATAATAATCATACAATATCTATGACTACAAGCAATGATGAATTATATACCTTGAACGGTAAGTGCAAGAGATGAGCATTTCTCATCTTCTCCTTGTTAATTTAAGGTGAGAGGACCTAGTAAATGATGGTAAAGATGATGAGACTCTGGCTTCTGGTTTAAGTTGAAAATGATTTTAAATTTTACCGCATTCTCACGACTTTTGTTCAAGTCACGGAAACTCCTTAAGGCACTCAGAAGCTCTATGTGTTAACATTGAGACGAAACATTGGGGATGATGAGATGGCGATGATGATGATTACTGCTT